CCAAACAGGATACATAAAATGTGTAGACTGAAAATGTGCCAGCCCCAATTTTAGCATAATAGTCTAGAAGTGAACAAATTAAAACTATGCTGTGCCGAACAATTGCAGTTATGTAAATACATTATAATCCTACACAATAACATTATAATCCTATGAACATATGCCCCCACCCAGGAAAGTTTGTAAGCCAGCCACTTCATGCCTTTATCCCTATGCCTCCACCTCTCCACCCCATGTTTGTCTTGGATTGCTATACTGCCCATTTATATCCACCCAGTGCTCTCAGGAGACAAGCATGTTCTTTGATGTGAAGAATCTTTATTCCAGTTGGAACCTTATGAGCCTGCATCCATAAGCAAAGTCAAATCAGAACAGGCCGTCCATAAAGTCAGCAGCAGTATGCACCAGTTCACAAACTCAAAAACCTTCTCTTCATCTGGTTTGGTTCTGGTCAACTTAATGTGGACTGCCCTTCTTAGCCTCACCAGGGTGCCATAGGCCGCTTGTCCTTTGGGCCATGGGTCCCTTCACAAATTCTCATCAGGCCCAGCATCCTTGGGCCAGGTCACACCATAGGCACAGGTTCCATACAACTCTTTAAACTTCAGACCAGTCAACTGGCTCTTGTCTCTCCTCTAGTCTGTGTGAACCAGGCCAGACTCAACCCATCTGTCTAAAGCTGCATTTCTCCCAGTTCCACTTAGCAGGTGGATCCAGGCAGTCACCTAGCAACCATGGCAGGCTGCTCGTAGGCTTTCTTTAACCTAGAGAGGAGAGGTCTTTCAGGGCTCCAGATTGTTCCACCTTCAGGAGCAAACTGCCAGTTCAAAATTCAAAGAGACCAAATGGCTCCTTTTCTTTTCCCTTCTCCTTTTTCCTTCAGTCTTCCCAGGGCTCTCTAGGCAAGTCTTTTCAAATAAAAATGTCCTGTGCCCCAAAGCACGGGCCTGCCTCTTCTAAGTCTTCTCTGGAATTCCCGGTGAATCCATTTAACAGATTCAAGTTAAATGGCTGAAGGGAGTGGGCTGACAAACTTTCTCCTCATTCATACTTCCCAATAATCATTTCTTTCACATGTTATACCAGTAACAATGTAATCCTCATACAGCCTAAACACATTCTTAGAACACTCAGGTCCAATCCTTTGCTTATCTATATGACTCCACTCAGATGCAATACGGTCATAGTCCCCTGGCGGCATCAAACCAGGGCCTGGCATTTTGACTAAGCAGCATGGCCTCAGAGAAGTTCGAGGGGAAATTTACAGCCATGACCTTCCCCCATGCACCATTCCAGTTAGGAATAATCAAAGACCATTTCTAGGGATCAAAATCATCACTTTCCATTGTCTTTTCGAGAACATAACCCAGAAAACTGTCCTGTCATGTCTGACCTTGGGCTAGATAAAGAAAAAAACTACCAAAAAGGCAGAAGTCAGACAAGCCTCCTATTTCATTCTTCATTATTTATTTCTCTCGTACCCTCTCCTCGGGTACCATAAGATGTTAGGCCAGGTTTACAAGAGAAACAAATTCAGAGACCATCATAAATGTAGAAGAGAGAGCTTTCTATCAAGAAGTAGTGGTTTATCAAGAAAACATCCCAGCTCAGTCCAACTGAAGTCCCTAAGTCCGAACATTGTCCCCAGGCCCCTCCTCCGACGCATGCAGTCACATGCAATGCTGCAGACTGCAGGAACATCGCGGGTTGGTGGGTGCAGAACTGCGAGGAGCCAGTGGTGCTGGGAACATCGCAGCAGCTCTCAGGAGTGGCTGTCAGCAGGAAGGTGAACGCCGAGAGGCATGTGTCTGTGTTTGATCAGACACTTCCATTGTATTTGTTCATCTTGCTCTTCCCCCAGTCGAATGCAGTGTGCTTTTGCAAGGGAATTGAATCTTCCAGGTGCTGATTCTGAGATGCCTCCAATAATAATTTCACACCAATACATGCTATCATTATCTTGGAGTTACTTTCTGAGCGCCAATCTTTTTCCTTTTCTTAAATCAACTTTTCCAAAATTGAGCTGTATCCTCTCAAAGAAGCGGTACCGTGTATCGATTGCCTTTGCCTGTATTTCCCCCCCACAGATGGCTGGTGCACACTCTTCTGATAAGGCAGGACCAAAGTTTTCAGCCTCGTCCCCAGGGTTTTCTAAGTCAAGCTCAGCAGCTTCAGAGATAACACAGCCTCCATCTTATGAGGATGCAGTCAAGCAGGTAACCAACCGCACAATCTGATCATTCTCTAGTAGACTTGCGCAATCAACAGGGCTTTCTGCTATCACAGCTTGTAATTCTGATGTTGCATCTGCTGCCTCTGGGTGGCATGAAATGTGTAGACACTGATTGTAGAAAGTGGCAGCACGTGTGGAGATGCTGTGTGGAATAGAGAGAAAGCAGGTCAGACTGGACCTCCAGGTGCCTTAGCCCGTTCTGCCCCAAGCCAGCTGGCTCAGCGTGGGCCAGGTATCTAACTCCTCTGATATAAAATAGGCATCACAGCTACTTTGTAGAATTCTAGATGAAGTATTTAAGAGATTTGCCATGTTGCTTGGGCTCTGCAGAAGCGCTCAGATATGTGAGAGCTATTTTCCCTGTTGATGCCCACATACATACACGCATACTTCCTAGCTTGATAGTTATTGAATCTGGGCAGTGAAGGCATGCAGGACATCGCATTCTTGGCGTTTGTTTACATTTGGAAGTTTTCAAAAAGAAAAAAGGAAGGAAAAGTATGAATGACCCTACATTATAAATAGTCTGTGCTTCTTATCAGAAAGTCCCTGTTGGATATTCTTCTTGCTCACCTCTGAAAAGGATATACGTGCATGTGCGGCCCTGCACATACACACACACACACACACACAACACTGCCATCAATTTGATTCTAACTCATAGCAGCACCATAAAGGATTTCCAAGACTGTATAACTTTATGGGCATAGACAGCCTCATCTTCCCCCCCTAGGAGCAGCTGGTGGGTTTGAATCGCTGACTTTGCAGTGAGTAGGTAAAGGCTTACTCAAAAGGGCCACCAGGATATAATCATTAAATATTGGGTAACTGCAAGTAAAGTTAGCCTGCAATTAGGTTTCCTTTAGCTTAGAGAGAACATTTTATTCAAAAAGTACCAGCATTAACTGCCACCATGTTAACTTTGACTCATGGTGACCCCCATGTGTACCCAAATAGAATTATAAATTGTACAGTGGTAAATGGCTGTTTGGGGGGAGGAAATCATCAAACTTTTTGTAGGTAGACTGGTCGACCCTCTGGGTAGACTCAAACTGCCAACGTTTCAGTGAACAGCAGACCGTATTCACCATTCGTGCCATCCATGCGAACGGTCAGCTTTCTGATTTAAAAAAAGCAAGCAAACTAGGGACTCTGGCAACCTGAGAATCAATGTTTTGCCAGACAGTTACCTAAAGCAGGGTCTGCTTCCCCCTGGAGCCATAGATGTGCTCTATAGCCCACCCCTTCCTCCTACTCCAGATTTGGGTCCTTGGCCCCTAGGCACCCTGATGTCTGCTGCGTTGCAGTTGACTCGTTGATGCGCTGTGCTCCCTGTCCTGTTAGCTGCTGATGTCTGTGTTGGAGACTGGGCTCCTAGAGGAGTGAGATGGATATATGCCTTAGGTCTCCGCATTCCCTTCCCCTGGCCGCTGTAAGCATGAAGTAATTCTTGACAGTTTCTGTTCGGTTTTCTTCTGTTCGGGGGTGGGGGGAGGCCTGATAAAGTGGACTTTCTATAAATAAAGGTCTGCTGAACAACTTGTTGGAGACTTTCGTGGGGATTGGAGGTGGCAGCTGCTGGGGGTGTGGGCAGGCTGTTAAGTCAGTGTCAAGGGCTCCATGAGCGGGCGTCATGAGGGCCCGAGGAAATGGTGAGGCCAGCTCTTAGGCTGCATGCACACTAACCTGTGTGGGCAGGCAGAAGACACGGCCTTCCCAATGAGAAAAAGTGTTCTGTTGTTGCTTCTGTTGATGCCACGGAGTCTGCCCCCAACCTGTGGTCACCCCATCCATGCACGATGAGATCAGACCATGGTGGTAGGGCCTCCGTGCACTGCTTTGGTTTTCATTCGATTGTTAGGCCTTTCCTCTTGGTTGGTCTTAGCCACCAGAAGTGCCACTGACACCCATTCAGCGTGGCCCTTCCTACTTCTATATGAAAGGCCCTGCTCCTGGGATGGAACCACTTCAAGGGCTGGCACTCACGCTGGATCCCGCTCTGCTGGGAGACATTTCACAATCGTTTCCTCCTCCGCTGCAGTGGCACGTTGCTTCGCTCCTTGGCTGACCTGTTTAATGTTCCTAGTGAGCTTTCATCAAGCAGAGTTCAAGAGGCTTCACATGCAGCACCATTTGGAGACTTGTAGTTCTGCTCATAATGGTTGCCTTGAAACGAGGCCGCCCTTTCTGACCTCCCTGCCCTCCTTTTGGTTGTTTGGCCACAGCAGGTGACTAGGAGCCAGCAGATGGATGAGCTCCTGGATGTCCTCATTGAAAGTGGAGGTAAGGAGGCTCTGTTTCTTAGTCAGCGGTCATTCTGTACTTGCAGGTACACCCGAGAGTGAACACTGGGGCTAAAGCTGTAGGTACACTATCAGATGTGCTCCAAGCATCCATGGGAAGAGTTACCTCCCTGGAGCTTCGCCCCATGCTTGGAACAGACCCAAGGGCATGGTGGATGATTCCTTGATGTTCCTGGGAACATTTCCCACCGCATTTTAACACATTTTCGTTTTCTCCTTGTTTTCGGAAACATTTTTTTTTCAGCTCGAGCCATCTCAATCCTATCTTCTTAATCATAAGAATAAAAACAATAGAAGAGAACGTGAAGGTGATATGAACCTACTCAAAATGAAACTCCATTAGTCATCTTCTCCTGGGAGGCTTAACTTCACTCACACCAGCCATCAGCAATGAGCAGTCTGTGCTTTCTGCATCCTAGTAACTCATATACTTACTGCCTAGAGTTTAAAACCACATGGGTGAATGAAAGCACCCAACGAGATAGCATAGAATAAAAGAGGTCAGGCCTAAATGTTTTAGCAATCACATCTAAAGTTTCAGAGATGGGGAAGCAGAGAACTCAAGAGAAAGAGGGATGGGGGGAGGTAGGGGATGTTATGAGGCTCATTGTTGAGTCAGATAGACAGAGTTCTGCCTTTTGGAGTTTCTGGTTGTTGCAAACCGTTAACTTGCTCAGCTGCTAACAGAAGAGCTAGAAATTCAAATCCACTCAAAGGCTCAGACCTGGCAACTGCCTGAACACTCTGCCTTATAAAGTCCTGTGGAGCACGGTTATCGTCTATGGCACACGGTGTTTGTTACCATGAGTTGAAGCCAAGTCCATGGCAACTGTTTGGTGGAGCCGGGAGCTAAAGTAAAGGGGATGGAGAAAAGAAACAGACAGACAGACAGACACATCCTCCATTGTGACCAGAGGGGGAAAGAAAATGATTTGTTTGCAGATTCTGTTGTGAGAAAATGAGAGACTTCAGATCAGATGCCCTTCACTTCCTCATGATGTTTGTGACCTGGTTTGCAAAGAGTGAGGGTGTAGGGGGGTAGTATGAAAGATAAGAGGGCAGAAGGGCAGTTATGAATAAATCATGAATGGAGTTTTGAATAAAAACATAGTAGACTTGCTGGATCGCATTGAGTGCCAATAGGAGGTCGGAGATCATGAATTTAGAACAAACCCAGTCGATATGGTTGTGTAATTTTTTTTTCTTTCAATGCTCACTGATCCAGGGAAGGTGCAGATAATATTCATCTGGGGGTGGGGCTTTGTGAAGGGAGCATGGCGGAAGGGCACAGGGATTGTGGGTATTTATAAGAGCATAATTATAGTGGTTGGAAGTCAAAACAACAGTGGGCATCAAGTCAGTGCTTACTCTTGATAGAGAGTCCCATCATCATGGAAAAGAATTTCCAGAAGGAGTAGGTTTGGGGGAGGAATGGGAGGAAGGAAGAATTGGGAATATTTACACAGGGTGGTTTGGGAATGAAACTCCTATATCTGTCTTAATGTAATTCATTCTTCCAAAGAGACAGAGTATGTGGCATGCTCCACTTGGGATGATCTAACAATTGCCTTTGGGTTTTCCCCACAGAAATGCCCGCTGATGCCAGAGAGGATCATTCCTGTCTTCAAAAAGTCCCAAAGATACCTGGGTCTTCCCGAAACCCAAGCGATGCTCTCCCCAAACCTTCCGCTTCCTTTGAGCAAGCTTCTGCAGGAGGCCAGCTCTCTTTTGATCACTACGCCACCGAAAACGACGAGCACCTAGAGGTCTTACTAAATTCCCAGAGCCCCTTAGGAAAGGTGAGCGATGTCACCCTCCTAAAACTTGGGAGTGGGGAGCCCCCGTTTGATGGGATCATGGATGGATTCTCTGGGAAGGCTGCAGAAGACCTCTTCAGTGCACAGGAGATTTTGCCAGGTCCCCTTTCCCCGATGCACACTCAGTTCTCACCCTCTTCTGCGGACAGCAGCGGGCTGCCCTTGAGCTTCACCGAGTCTCCGTGGGAGACCATGGAATGGCTAGACCTCACGCCACCAAGCTCCACACCAGGCTTCGGCTCCCTCGCCGCCAGCGGCCCCAGCATCTTTAACATTGATTTCTTGGATGTCACGGATCTCAATTTGAATTCTCCCATGGACCTTCACTTACAGCACTGGTAGAAGGCGGATACAACCATGCTGGATATGACCAGCAATCATTCTCTTGGGGGAAGTATACACCTATGGACACTTGTATTGCTGAGAGAGAGAGACGGGAATTAAAAACAAACCTAAAGAGACTTCTGTGACAACCAACTAGGACAAATAGGATATATATTTTGTTTGTTAGTTGTTGTTGATTCCGAGATATATATATATTTACCAGCATTCAGTGATTCAGTGACTGATAATACTTTCAGCAATGCATTCAAAAAAATGTGTCTTCTCAGACTAAGAAAGCCCATTTATTTTCACTCCCCTTTAAAATACCTTTTGGTAATTTTCTAACCCATATTTTTTCTCAGGCATTGTTGGAGCATGATCCCATAAAGACAACTATAGACAAATGGTGAAGAGAAATGTTCACTTTTTTGAACATTTCAAAGGAAGTCCATCCAACCGTTATGAAAGCTAGGTCCTTGTTGTAGGCTCTTCTCGTCTCTCTGTTGCCCGTATGAAAGTGGAGTGCAAGCACAGCGTCAGTGGGGCGTTCTTGAGGCAGAGGAAAAGGATAAGCAGATCTGTTCATAGGAAAGCAAGCCCCTCAGCCACGAAATTAGCCACGGAGTGATCCCAGTCCTGTACTCACAGCTCCTTGGGCCTGATGTCAGGCAGCCTGCATTTGGTCCAGACAACCCTATTCAAAGCTGTCTTCTTTCACAAGCTAAACCCACTTTGCTCCTACTTTCTCTGAGGTGCTAAGCAGGGCAGAACAATGGAGATTCCTAAAGCAAGGAAAACTCCTGCTATTAAAAAAGGTTCCTTGGGTTTTCCTACACAACTTCTTTGGTTCCAAAAACTAGAGATTACCACATAGGCAAACCTGCAGGATATCTCTAGGCATAAGAAGCTGTATCAGGGAACATTCAGCCATGACTAAACAGTATAGTTTTACACATCATGGGAATAAATACCATGGACTACTCTCACGGGACTGCTATTTACTGGAGTCCAACTTCAATCTGTTTTCCTTTTTGTGAGACGGGATGGGGAAGTCTAGCTCGTTTAACTTTCTCCCACTCGATATACCTTGCAAAAAGCCAATCCTCTCTTGCTGTTCTTTCAACTTGTTAGCTTTTTATGCCCAACATTAGGAGGGGAGGACTGCTCACATGTAACATGCGTTCACACCCCTGCATTAAAAGCCCGGGTTCTCCCGTGGAGCCTCCTGCATCGGTGTGCTTCACCACAAATGCAGCCACAAGAGTTTGCCCACGTGGCCATTCCGGTGACTTGACCCACCGGACACCAAACCCACACCCCCTCCTTTGCTGTATAGTGGTCACTGGTTTCTGCTGCTCGGGGATATCATTCGATTATCCGAGTAAATGTGGACGATAGTTATGGGAGAGCCTATCAAAGGTTCTGGCCTCTGCGAAGAGGCACACTTGCACATTGAAGACGAAAGGGCAACAAGAGACAAGGGTCTCATCAGAGTGTGACCCTCACCACCTCTCATGCTTTGGCTGGGAGCTAAGCAACCTCAAATTGCAGGGCAGTCCCTCCAAAGCTTACCGGGGCTCACATCACCACCAAAGAGTGTTTGTTGCATGCTGTAGAAAGTAGCTCTTGCTGTTGTTTGTTTTTGTAAGAAAAAAAATTAATTTAAATCACCGAGGCACTGTTTTCTCCTTTTGTAAAAAAAGAAAAGAAAAGAAAATATTGTTCACTGTGCACTTGTAGAGAAAATAATCAAAAATGTGATTTTAGAAGTTTCTCTTTTTGATAAACCAAAGATTTAGAAGTCATTCCATTGTTAAATGTGTATGCGGATGCAGAGGATTTATTAATGACGGCGCCTCTGAATGTTTCCGGTTGGTATTCGGGGTGGGGTGGGAGGGGAGCAAGGAATGTACATCCAAACACGCACACGAGTGTAGATATATATGTGATGTGTGCGTGTGCGCGTGTCCTGAATAGCAATGTTACAGAAGTAGATGTCAAAAGCCTTTAACCCTCAGTCTGCTGTAGACATGGCCGTTCTCACGAAGAACTCCTGATTACTCAAGCAGACTACACGTTGCCTCTGCATATGACTCCTGACTCCCAGCCACCTGCTTGCCACGAACAAGCTCACCGTGGCAACGGCCACGGATGTGAGAAGAAGAGAGCCTTCACCACGTGTCGCTGGAAATGGTGACACGTCTAACGGGAACATGGGCGTCGTCTCACGTTCCCCGATCTGCATTGTGCCGGGAAAAGATCTGCATGGTCGTCTTTAGCCTGTGCGTCTGTCATCAGAACCAGCTATCTAGACGGACACGTCACCAGCCGTGTCTTTGGAGATGAAGTAATGGGGAGAAGGCGTGGCGACCGCGATCCTCGTGGCTGCCGACTCCCTAGACACTGATGTTTTCCTTGGGCCACAAAAAGCTTGCTGGTCGGTCTGTTTTCCACCTGCCACATTTTGTTGTTTATGTGATCCACCCACCCCCACCTTGTTTGAAAACCAAACACAGCACTGTCCCTACTCTGAGAGTCTGGTCTAAGTGTTGTATTTTTCTGCTCATCTGGGTATTTCTGTCTGAACTATTCCCCCTGGGACAGACGGCTCTGTGCTCTGCCAGACTGTACATTTCTAGGGCTTCTTTCCAGCACAGTGCCCGGAACTGATCTGCACAGCAGGCGCGCGGTCTCAGCAAATGGTAAACAAACAAACAAACAAAAACACTGTTGTGCAGGCCGTTTATACTCACAGCAAGCCTATAAAGGGTTTCTGAGACTGCGGATCTTTATGGGGGCGGACAAGCTCACCTATGGCTCAGGGAGCAGCGGGTGGGTTTAAACCACTGACCTTGCCTTTCGCAGCGCAGTGCCTAACAGACAGTGCCAGAGGGCTCCTTGGCCACCACCAGCCATGTCAGTAATAGAAAACAGATGGCTTGGTTACTGCTTTCAACCTCCATCCACCATGTTCTTCTGATTTCTTTATAGTCCTCATCGTCTTTCCTCACAGCTCTGAAGTGAGACTGCGGGGGAACGTGGAACAGTCGGGAGAAAACCAAGGGTGTTTCAGGCGGTCCCCGTGGAGCAGACCTTCTGTGTCCGTTCATGGGTCTCCTACTGGGCTGGCTCCATTGTAAGTCCCTTCCAGCCCTTAATTATCCCCTCTTCCTATGGTGACAAACAGGGCATGACTAGAGGATGTAAAGAGACTTAAGAAGGGGGGCCATGGTCAACGTCCTGAAGATGACCACCGTTCATGTCCCTAACACGCCGGTAACCTACAGAGCGCAGCTGACCTCTAGACACGGGTGGCCATTCCCCTCGCTGCTGCAAGCATGTACTCAGTCTCCCCCATGGAGCCAACAGACCCACTTGTGCACGCCCTCCCAGTCAGCCCTGCTCACTGTCCTGGCCGAGTTCTTGCGGTGCTACTGAGGTGGCACATGTCCTCCTACGAGGGAGAGAGAATGGCTGGAGCAAAGAAAGCCTGAAGGAAGGAAAGGAGGGAGGCAAAAAGGGTCAGCTTCATGATTGATGAACCTCTTGGTTCTGCCTAAGATATTGCATTATGAGAAGTGAATCTGTGTTTCTGAGAAGAAACCATTCTGAAAGATGCCATGAACTGAAAAACAGGGGCCCCAGGAGATCCTCTGCCTATAACTGAGATCTGGGAGCTGGCTGCCTTTTTTCCTTTCAAATATATGTATTTTCAATGGGAAAAAGAACCAAAAAATCCTATCCCAAGTACTCAAGCATTCCTTTAAAAAATTATATATATTAAACTCTATTTGTTTCTCTAAAAGCAAATTCCAGTCTGGCTGCAAAGCCCCACACTCGATGTACTCATCCCAAGGACAATGATAGGATGTCAATCATATGCACATCACACAAATTTCAGATACCAAATTCTAAATTGATCTGCTTAACGACATAATTGAAGAAAAGATTTTGAATGTTTGGGGAGTTCTAATTTCTAGAACCAGGAATAAAGGGAACCTCCCAGTCTTCAAACTAGAAACCCTCTGTGCCACCAGCACAGGGCGGCTTGCCTTCCCCAGGAGGGAGCGTGGAGGCCTCCCTCCAGCTGCAAGCTGCTTCCTAGTCTCTTCCTGGCTCTTTATGGAGACACGGTCTCAGCGTATCACTGTGGGATCTTTTAATATTTCCCCCCACTCGATACATCTGAATCTGAGAGTTTATTTTCACTGCGATACCGAACCCTCTACCATCCCGAAGTTTCTGGCTGATAGCAACCTTATAGGACAGTGTAGACGTGCCCAAGAGCATTTCTAAGGTTGTAAGTCTTTAAGGAAGTAGGCGACCACGTTTACCCTATGGGGCAGTTGGGAGGTTTAAACCATGGACCTTTCCGTTCACAGCCCAACAATTAACCCCCAAATCAGGGGAAAGTGAAGGAAGCACTTTGCTGCTGTTGCTCCATCCCTGACCCCATGCTGCCTAGTGCCAGACAGAGAGGAGGACCTGGAAAGGGTCGGCTAAGCCTCGACTCCTCCGAGCCAAGAGCGTGAACACAGTGCGGACGTCCCCTCTTGGAGCTTGTTGCGTTCACAAGCTCCAGTGAACACCCCCCCACCACCACCACTGTAGATGGACAGGCCTTCAAAGGAATAGAGGCTGGGGGTCCTTTGTCATCAAGGCAATCGAAGGCAGCGGAATGTTTCAGAGGCGAAAATGGATGGGACTGTACTAGACAGAGCATATGAATCAGAACACAGAGACCAGGTCATGGGACAGGATGGGCCTAGACCTCTGAGAGCTGCTCGGCCGTTCGTAGGGGATTGGCCTTTTCCGGGACACCTGGCTAAGTTGAGATTAACCATGGGAAGAAGATTTGAAGGTAGCAGAGGCTCTGTTGGCGTTTCTGAGTAGTGTAAAAGCTAAACATACCCAGCCGCTAACCCAAAGCTAGATGGTTTCAAGTCCAACTCCAGAGGGACCTAGGAAGAAATGTCTGGTTGTCCACTTCACAAAGAAGTCAGTCATTGGAAGCCACGCAGAGAACTTGGACTCATGGCTGCCCCATTACGGTTCTACATTGAGTCAGGATTGGCTCCATGGCAACTGTGTTCTACACGAGGTGAAGGTGAGATCTGAGATGGATTTCACATCTGGCAGCAGATTGTAATAGAACTCATTGGGTTCAGTAACAGGAATACATTTTCTTCTGATTATAGAATCTGTGAGTATCCTTCTGCATTAGGAAAAGCAACTCCCTGATTGTCTCCCAGGCTTATTCTGACCAGCGGCCCCCATCAAGGACACTGGCAGGCCTGGGTTTCCTATAAAGGGTTTAGGAGTCCTGAGTGTTGGTGACAAAGGGGGTATGACGATGGGAATCCTGGATGCTGTTCTGATGTTTTCTAGAGGAAAGAACCCACATTGCTCCCCAGAGCTCTTTCCCAAGGGCCCTGCAGGGAGCAAGGAGGGCATTGCATTGTTGAGTGCTAAATCCACCCTCAGCTAAACACGAAGTGGCTGGCTCTCTGAGGAACCCAGAGGAGCAAGCACACATGCTCCGCGAGGGCCTCGGTGGTGGTGGGCGGTGGTTTCGCTTGATCTCCTTTGCACGAGTTTCCACACTCTGAAATCTAGGTTACCAGGAGGACGAGGGAAGCAATGGCTAAACTACCAAAGTTGGCATGTGTTCTTTTTTTAAAATGATATATATATATTTTTAAATAAAATGTTTATTTTAAAAGGAGATGCAAGTTTTTCCCTCTTTAGTGTGTGATGTGCTTTCTGTGGTTTGGTTTGGTTTCTTATCCATGACCAAGTCATTGTGATCCCCACGAAAGGCATGAAGAACCCGAGGCTCAGAAGGTTAACTAGTCTCCGGTTATCAAGCGAAAGAAAGAAATAATTGATATCTAATTGACTCCGAGTCATGGTGACCCCATGGATGCCAGAAGAGGACTATATTCCTGCGATGTACATTTCTAGGCTTTTCCTCCAGGCACCTTTAGCTTAACATTTTTTTAAAATTTGTTTAAGGCAGAGCCAGGAGTCAAGCCCATGACCTCTAATGTCACCCAGCCAGCCTGCCTGAGCTCACTTCTGGCCACAGCAGCGGAGGGAACGAACAGCAGACCCTCCCATCACAGTCACGCTTGCTCAAACACACCCACAACACAGTCAATGCAAGGCTTCTCCATCACAGTCACGCTTGCTCAAACACACCCACAACACAGTCAATGCAAGGCTTCTCCATCACAGTCACGCTTGCTCAAACACACCCACAGCACAGTCAATGCAAGGCTTCTATCAATGCAGCAACCGGGCAATCTGAGGGACACCTAGTCTATACCTGCTTTCCTCTCCTAAAGTTATGCTTCCCTGTCATTTTCTTACCAGGAACTAGACAGACAAATGGGGTTACCAGTAAATGCATACACATGGAGGAACGGTTCTGCTGTGGAAAGCGTTTTGGAATGGCTATACCACACACGGCTTAGAATAGAGTTGGTCCTCCTCCTCTGCATGCTCTTACGCTCCATGGAGAAGCAAGAAGGCCCGGGATGCCCAGTCTCAGAGACTCATTCTAACAGAGTAATAATTCCAACAAGAGGAGCATTTCTCACTCCTAAAAGTCCCAGAAAACATCTTGAGGCTGATTCTGAGTGGTCCACATCAGTCACAAGTCCACCTCTGAGCCACCACCCCCTACCCCTGTGTCCCTGGGAACAGGAATAACATGCTATCTTATAGGACCTGCATCTCCCTGACCTCCCAGACTCGGGGTCATTTGAACGCATGGCTGACCGTGGAGAAAGCAAGGCTCGTCTAAGGAAAATTTCAAGTGGCATTATCAGAGGCTAAATGGGTGGTGGAAAGATACCAAAGGT